ACCTCTGAAACGTTGGTTAACATCGACCAGACTACACAGCGCAACAACCCAGAAGACAGAAATCTTCACATAAGAAGTTGTTTCGAACAAGTGAAAGCAAACTGAAAACGATGAACTGGTGGAAGTTGTCGTGGCATTTCCGAACATTTACCTGGATTAAACTTACTCAGCAGTCGTCCAAGTGGCCGGTCATCAATAGGTGTCCTTATCAAAATCCTCTTGTGTCTTTTATCCCAGAACATAGTAATTTCGAAGTTATCACTACCAGATAACATGCATACCTACATTACCATCATCACACCATTTCTAATATTATTAAACACTGATGAAGCAGCAAGGAGATTAATATCATGGTCTAATCGACAATTGACTACATTTGGAACAAAATAATAAGAGACGATTTAAACCTATTTAGCTTCGTAAGTAAAACAATTGACTGCCAGACCACCCGCATTAGCCGTATGAATGCTGCTCTGAGGAAAAGAAATCTGCGTAACGTAACCCATATATTTACCGTTGAACAGTGCGAGGGTTTGGTATCATACAGGACCCGTTACATATACGGGCACCGCACGTAACCTCATTTAATTCTGCCTGCAACTAATTACTCTACTTCAATACAAAAATTACAGATGACAAGTAAAAAGGTCAGTAACAGAATGACCTTAATGCAAATAATAAAATAATACAAACGACGATAAAAACGTCGCTTTAGCGGAACTAGGCTTAATCTACTGGAATAAATTGAACTGTACACCGAGACCAGACAAGTTCTATATCAGAAATGCAACACAACATAAAATCGAGGGTACGATAATGTGCCGCTTAGCCAGGAATATCGCACCCTAGCAGTTGTAATCAACAGCTCAAATTGTGTTGTAAGTTTAAAGCTTCAGGTTTTATGAGATGTTAAAGTTGCGTCATATTGTGATATAATAAATATATAATATTTAAATCTTGTCCGTCTAATCACAATAAATTCTTATTAAATATTAAAATATTACAATAATTAACATTTAAAATATTTTAAATGTTAATTATTGTAATATTAATTATTTTAAATATTTTAAATGTTAATTATTATTATTATTAATATATTCAGGTTTTATGTAAAAGACGGGAAGACCGAAGAATCGAGATTTTCGTACCAATGCTTTAAACTTATCACCTATAATAATCGATGTAATATAACCTATGCAGTTGACAGAGAGTCGATAAATTCATTAAAATATACTACGAATAAATGAGACAAAGAAAGTAAGAATTAAACAACAAAAGAGAATGAAAGAAGGATAGAAATAAACGAAAGAAAATAATAAAAAGGAAGAACCTTAGTCAAGATATAAGTTTAATATAATTTGTCTATGAGATGATAAAGTTACGTATGTGCCTTAATTAAAAGAATGAACTTCTTTTAGATTTTAAACTACATACAAGAACAAAAAAAAACGTAAAAAACACACAAATCTATAAAATTCACTGACAAGCAAAACATATAGAATAGACTACATTCTACTATACATTCTACAAGTCTACACGTAGCTCTTTCGTGCACTTCGTAAACAATTACGTAGGAATAATTTTCATCAGTCCGTATTAATTAAACACTACAGCTTATCAGTACAGCAAACAAGACGGTAATTTTGGAACAAATATTTCTCAGTGAACAAACAATACAACTTAATGTAAACTAATTTCAATACTACATAATAAAATATATTATACTCTGCACTAAATTATCACGTATCGCGTATCGAGGCACTTCCAGAATAAATATTTCTCATACGTTTAGAACCAAAACTTACCAACACAACGCGTACGTGACATGGAGATCCTTCAACTTAACTGCCCGCCCCACACCGAAACATTTGAAAGTCTACTTGTAGCTCCTGGTTGGTAGGCAACGCGCAATTACCGATCGAAACAATCTATCGGGGCTGCCGACTTCCCCACTTTGACACGTGACTGCCACACTGACGTCACATGGAAA